TGTGGCTAGGACCCGAACCGACCTCCTGTACAGCAGACGATACTGAGACTTGGAGATGTAGCATCACTTGATCCCATGGTTAAGTGAATGATTCAGGCAGGTGTCCAAAAGGTGCCCCACGCTTCCAAAACCTGGGCTTTTATCCAGCCTCTTTTGATCCTCACAATAGCAGAGAGATGATCACTGCCCTACAGTTGGGAAGCAGAGTCTCTGCTGAGGGAGGGGACTCATCCTGGGTCACCCAGGCACTTGACCTATTGGTCACACGGGCCGAGTCCTTCTTCCAAGTGCTCTAAGACACTGTATGGTTGAATAGCAGGACACATGGCTCCCTGGTACCTTACAGAGCCCCATCAGGGCTCTTATCCTGAAAGTGGGGAGACAAACGAATCAAATTCAATAAAACCTCCAAGCTGGATGGGATGGTTGCCACCCTGAAAATTACAATGTGAATTCCAAATGACCCATATAGGTTTGATAAAAGGGCAAATGTGAACAGAATAATGTTCAATAACAGGCAGTGGGGTCTAAAGGGACAAATAGGGATTCTGGAGTCAGACCTGGGTCTTGATCTCGGCTCTGCCCTTTTGAGTTGTTTGACCTTGGGCTAGTTACTTGTCTTTGAGATCCTGTTTCCCTCTTCTGTAAAGTGGGTGTCACGATACCTTTCTCACAGGTCTGCTGTGGGGATTAAGGGAAAAACATACATAAAATATGCAGGAAATGCTAGATAAATATCTGCTTTAATTCCTATTGAGATAGGTTCTGATTAATGCAACTACAGAGGAAAAAATAGCTCAACAGAAGGGCTGGCTTCATAAAAGAGTTGCAGAAAAAAATCAGATAAAGGCAGTAATGGGTATATTTTTTTATTGTTGTATTTCTTTGGACTCGTTTTCTAAATGAAAACCCAACTTGGTGGCCTGAGTGAGGGGATTCTTTCCAATAGTCTCAGCTTCTCAGCCCTGGTCAAGGGTTCAAGCATTGTGTTGTAGAGGGTGACGGGTGGGAAACAAAAAGATGATTAAAGATCTGGCTCTTAGAGTAACTCTTTTGTTCTCTGAAGGTGATTGTGTATATTTGAGTTGTGTTTCTTGTCCTATTATTCTTGCTAATACCCAGATGAATTTTATTTGTTAAGGGAGAAAGTGGCTTAAAACAAAGTCTCCTTACCTTATCTGTATAATGTTGACACTGTGAGACTATTGCAATTTCTAGGTTCCTTTAGGCTTGAAGAATCTCTACATGTGTGTGAAAAAAATGCAAGTTTAAAATTGTAGGTTTCCACAATGGGGCCAGGGCAGCTGGAATCATCCAGTGATTCCTTCTGGTTCCAAGAGAAGACAAACTTTGATTTCAAAACTGAACTTTGAAATTGAAAAATAAAAGAGGAAAATAAAAGGTTTCCAAGGCCAGAAGGAAAGATTTAAATTTTTGAAGAGCTCATCAGCATTTCAAGGGTAGTGATAAGCCACTGGAATTTACTTTGCTGTTTTCAGCTCAAGCACCGCCACCCCCAGCCTCCCCAGTTCTCCTCTCCTGTGTCTCCGTGTCAGGCTGGGTGGCCACAGCTCTGGGGTCTGAAGCTCTCCCAGTCTCATTCCCCTTTGTTCCTGTTTGTGTATCTAATCATCTTCATGCTTCCTCTGTTCTCTCTCTCTCTCTCCCTCTCAGTGTCCACTTGTCCATCTTCCTGACTCCTTTTTGGCCCCTGCCCCGTGGCCCTGACCTGAACATAGAGGGTTTTTTTTTTTTGCGGTACACGGGCCTCTCACTGTTGTGGCCTCTCCCGCTGCGGAGCACAGGCTCCAGACGCGCAGGCTCAGCGGCCATGGCTCACGGGCCCAGCCGCTCCGCGGCATGTGGGATCTTCCCGGACCGGGGCACGAACTCGTGTTCCCTGCATCGGCAGGCGGACTCTCAACCACTGCGCCACCAGGGAAGCCCTGAACATAGAGGTTTGACTGCTGGCTCACAATTTTTTTAACGGCTAAGTAAACTCCAGAGTAGGGTTGTTATGGAGAAGTATGAGGGGGAAAAGAGGTGAAAAGAGAAGGCCAAGGAAGAAATGTAACACAAAGGTCCTCAGGAATGTTGGAGAACACCCCTTCTCAGAGAGCACCTCGAGGAGGAACAGGTTGAAACTGCAGGAGGAATATCTGGGTGCCGATGACTTGGCTTGCCTCCCCTTGAGAGCTGGTCATTCATGGTCACCACAGCCTGTCACCTTCTGGTGGGTTGTAGGGGAGGGCGTGCTGGAGCAGGAAGGGTTCAGCTTTGCATCGGGCAGATGGGGCACCACAGTTCTGCTACTTAGAGGGCGTGACTCTCCGGACCTGGATCGCCTCATCTGCAAGCGGTGAGCAGTGCTACCTGCCATGCGCAGGGGGAGGGTCAAATGTGTTCTGAAAACACCGACTACTCTTTCCTCCTACCCCTTTCATGGTAGCCCTTCACTTGCCCATTATTCAGAAGCTTGCTGTTAAGGCAATTTGGAACCTCAAACACATTTTCTCATAAAAACCAGTAGCCCTGAGCTGTGTGAAGCCTGGCCCCGACTCCAGTCTACCTTGCCGTCCTCTTTCTCTTCCCACCACTCCCATTCATGGTCTGGACTTTCAAGCCATGGTGGGATCTTCAGCTGTCTTCCAAACACCCCTCAGCTTTTCTGTCCACAAACTTTCACTCCTTCATCCTGGAATCTCAGACCTCTGCTTAGAACCCTTCAGGAAATCAATATCCAGGTGAAATCCAAATTCAGTGCCTCCATTCTCTGACGAGCTGTTCAGAACTGATTTTTCTCTTGTCTGAATTGACATTCCACTTCACCTCAGTTGGTCATAGGAGCTTTACAATAAAAGTGACAGCATACTGCCTTTTGCGGCTGTTATAATGGGAGTGTCATATTCTTATATCCCTCACACTGTTCAACAACTATTGCTGAATAAATGAACAATAATAGCTACATTTGTTGAGTACATGCTATATGCCAGGTAGAGTGCTATGCCTTTTTATATGCATTTCCTCATGTAATTCTCTCAGCAAGGTTAAAAGAATATATTATGGTCCCCACGCTCTGTGGGGAGCTAAGGTTCAGATGGACTAAGTAACTTTCCCAAGGTCAAATGTCCAGAAAGAAGAGCAAGGATTCCAACCTAGGGATGTGTGAACCCCCAAGCCCTGCGTTCCTTCTACTTCCCAAGAGAGAGCCTAAATTAAAAATAAATAAATACAACTAAAATCAACTATCGGGGCTACTTACAACCTCAGGTTTGGGTGCGACTTTCAGCAATGTCCCAAGCCTGAAAATAACCTCCAGGCATTTCTTTTCTGACCAAGGGAGGTAGGCCCAGTAAAGCAAGGAAGCAGGAATCCAAACATGAGGTTCACTAAATGCTGCAGAAAAAGCTTACTGCCACTAGAGGGCTTTCTCTCCCTTTAGGCAAAATGTGCGGCCTGGAACTTTCCAGCAGACCCAGCTGCGGTGAGCCGCCTCTGGGCTCCATTCCACCTCCCTCCAGCTCAACCCATTTTACCTAAATCCCTGGGTCAGCGCAGAAGTTGGCCAGCCTGGGGGAATCCCTACGGCAGTGCCCCAAGCTGGAGCAGTGGGGGAAGGAGGAGCCACGCCCCCCTGGTTTTCACAGGCACATCCCCATGCTCCTCTGGGTTGGGGATGCTTTGAGGTAGTCCCTAGGCTCATTTGGGGGCTCCCTGCATAAGCTTACGATGTGAGAGGGGGCAAAGAAGTAAACCTTCCTCCCAGGAGAAGTGGAGATTCTATGGTGGTAATCCAGAAGTGAGGCCCAAATGCCAGCCTGGCCTGCTCCAGGCCCTGAGCCCACCGCAGAGGAGTACTGAGCAAGTGGCCTAAGGCGACCTCACTTCGGTGGGCTCTGCGGGGGCCCGGGGCCCGGGTAGATTTTGCTGAGATGGGGAGGAGGGACCCTCCAGAGTAGTGAAGCATCGTTTTGTTTGAATATATCCTGCAGAGAGAAACATCTCTCAGGGCCATGGTTGTGCGGCTACAGCCAGGGAACTCCCTCCTCTTCACCCCTTCCCAGGAGCCCGGCAGGGGAGGGGCTTCTACAGCAGCCCCTTGGGGTTCCCCAGGGACCCCGGTATGGGGTTGGAGTGAGGACTCAATGCTGCATTTTAACACCGTATCAATAGCAACGCTTTTGGAGTGACAATAAGTGAAAAGAGGCAAATTACTAAACCATATCTAAGCTATTATTACAACTACTGAAATAACAGATAAACGGTGAAGGACTGAGAGGGAATCAGGAAGGTTGTAAAGGCATGGTGATCCTCTCTCTTTTTTAGACTTGTTGATTTTGTTAAATTCTGCGTGTATTCAAAACGTGAAGAAAAAAGGTGACGCTAATGTAAATTGAATTATAAAACACTTACAGAGTCTTCACCACGCCCTGAAAGGAGGTGTCAGAAATAGGACAGGCAGCTAGACCTGAGAGCTCTGGATGGAGAAGCGCTGGCCGAGATTATGAACTCCGGGTTCCAGGCCCCAGAAGGTGCAGATGCGAACTTAGGCGGCCCCGAGTGGCCGTCCACGTTGTACGTAAGAACATTTTCTTACAACTACACCCCCGCCCCCTCCATCCTGCAATTCAGCCGGGCGCCCATTTCGAAGGCGTCGGACTGGGTCTTGGCGGGAACCAGGCGGCCTTAGCCCGGCCTGCAGGGAAGGGGAAGCCCGGCAGCAGCCCGGGAGAGGCGACTGGGGCATTGTTTCAGCCCCTCGGGTGGGGTCCTGCAGGGGGAGGGGAGGCGGTAGCCGTCCCAGGGGGACCCGTGCATCAGCGCGTCCAAGCGCCCGGGCTTTGTGAAGTGTCTTGAGTCACCATGGAAATCCAAAGGAACGCGGAGAAGGGCGCCAGGAGGTCGGCGGGTTCTCGGGCTGCGTCCTCCGTCCCCTCTCGGACCCTGGCCCTGCGGCAGGGCCTGTCGGGAGTTGTAGTCCCAAAGCGGCAGCCGCGAGAGGCGCCGAGGATGCCAGGCGCCGCCGGTCCCCGCCTCTCCCTAACCTGCTAGCGAGAGGTGGGGAGCTCTGGGGAGGAGCCGTCGCTTCAGTGATTGGCCGAGGACGCCTCCAGCCTCCACCCAAGACCCCTCCCCTGCTCGCGGCTTCTGACTCCAGCGCCCGGCGCGCCAAGGCGGCGATCGAGCGAGCGAGCGAGCGTGCAGCCGCCGCCGCCCCGAGCACCCGCAGCTCCGGCGCCGCGGCGAGACCGGAGGAGAACCCACCGACCGACGGACCCTCGCAGGCGCGGCATCCCGGAGGAGTGGGTGATGGCGGGGTGGGCGGTGGGCTTATTCTCCCCGGGCTGGGACATCCATCTCACACAGTCTCTGTTTCTCTGGGAGGCGCACAATAGGGCCGGGGTCCGGGTGCACCTAGGGGCCCGGCTGCGGTGGACGCGGCAGGAAGTGTGGTTTGGGAATGGCGGCAGCCTTCCCGGGCTAAACTGGGGCCCGAATCGGTTCCTCTTTGTAAGCCCACAGAGCTCCCAGAGCGCCGAGCGGTGCCTTGCTCATAGTAGGCGTTTAATAGGTGCTCGTGGGATTGCAAAGAACTGGGGTGAGGAGGCAGCTTGGTTGAAGGGGGTTCACTCCTAGCACACAGTAGACGCCCAGCCTCACTCGTCGAGGCGCAGTGAATAGCTGGAAGGCTGGGTGGGGGCTTGCTGGCCGTGGGCCCGTCCGGCCCCAGTCTTAGATCGGCGCCGTCCTCTGCCCCCACCCCCATCCGCAGACACTCTCTGTCCCTCTCCCCTCCGAGTTGGGGTTTGCCCAGCCTGAACCGGACCCGGCGGCCAGTCCACCCGTCCGGCTAACGGAGCGGACGCCTGAGGACGATTCGCCAGCCGCCTCCGAGGCACCTGTCTGAACGACAAAGGCCGCTTTTTTGCGGCCCGGCCCTCTCGGCGGGCGCCAAGCTGGGTCCCTTAGCTTGAGCCCAGCGCGGGAGCCCTTCTGGATGCATCGATCTTGGCGAGCGAGAGACGTCGACGCCCCAGGCCCGGGGAGGAGGCAGAAGTCCGAGCTGGAGAGAAGCTGGGATGGAGAGAGGCGGAGGAGAGGCCTGCGTTTGAGCATAGATGGGGGAAATGGGAGATAGGGAAGCTGGGTGGGGACAGGTGACTGGATCTGGGAAGAGGGGTAAACTGGAGACTAGGGTTTGAGGAGGAAAGAGAAGGGTCTGAGGAGGGAGGGATGGAGCTTGGAGCAGGTGGCGCGAGGCGAGGCTGGGGCTGACGAAGAATGTGGAGGGGAGGAGGGATGCTGGAGGGCGGAGACTGCCTGGGTTTGAGGCGGGTAGACACTGGGGAGGAGGAGACCAGCGCGGTGAGGAGGAGGGGTCTCCCTGGGGAGGGAGGTCTCCGGGGAAGGGAGGGGCAGGCAGCTGGGGTCGCGGGTCTCGGGCCTGAAGACCCTCAGCTCTGGCGATGGGCCTGGCTGTCCTGTGGCTGGCCGGGCGTGGCTCTTGCACCGGGCGACGGACCCAGGATGGCGGATCCGGGACCGAACTGGCTGTCCCCGCGAGGAGCTTTGTCTCCCGGCTTGACGGCAGCCCGTAGGGACTCGTTTAGGGTTTTGTGATAATCCGCAGCGCCGCAGGCACACCCTTTTCTTCGCAGAGCTGAAAGGCTTGGTCCAGTGACAGATGCTGCCAGGGAGGCGGAATGAGGGACGCCTCCCGCCCGGGAGACCCGGAGAACAATAGCCGACACTGGTATCCGCCCGACAGCGAACTAGGGCCTCCCGACCCCAGAAATGAAGTGCGCAGTTTTCTGGTGCAGAAAATGCTCCCGGAGAAATCACAGGGCACGTGCTCGTCTCTTGGGGTTTGTGTTGGGGAACCGAGCCCCGCCGTTAATTCCCTGGTGTGAGTCGCGCGTCCCCCTAGACTGTGGCACCGGCAGACAGACGCCGCCCCTGGGTTTGGTACCTTCTGGCTGCGGCACCGCCCCCTGCCCCTTGCTGTTGACCAACCACCAAGACGATCTGGGGCGACCTGTGGAGGTTGCCTCGGTACTGAGCGGGCTCCCTGAGTAGCCGGCTTTGTCTGGCGAGGCGGCCCACCTCGAAGGTCTGCTGTGTGTTCCTAGAGGGAGTAGCTAGGGCCGATGCGGACTGTGGTAAAATGGGGAGAAGCTGTCGTGGAGATTACCCGCCACGGGTGCCACTCCTGGCCTTAGAGCCGGCAGCCAGGGGACCAGTGCTTCCCTTTGCCAGTGACCACACCCAAGCCAGCTTATCCATCCTGCAGTTTTCACTGGTATTGTCTGATGACCTAAGACAGGGATGGCTCTGTGATAAGAGGCATCTCCTTGCCCATGGGAAAGCAGATGGACAGAAATGCAAACACAAAAAGGGGTTCAACAGAGCTTTCCATGCACTCATAGTCTTGCTTGCTGTCTAAGCATCTTTCATGCCGCGCGCAGCGTCTTGACATGTGAAATGACAGCCAGAAAGTAGCATTCTGTTTGATAGGTTTTCTTTGATGATTGTTTAGCTGATATTAAAGGTGACTCTTTAGCATAGATTTATACTTTTAAATGGTCATTCATTTAAAAAGAAGAAAACAAACAAAAAAAAAAGCAAGGCAGAAGCATTTTTGTTCCAGGAGTGGAGGAAGCTTGGCTAAATGAGAGTCAGAGCATCATAGGACAAATCGGTGTGACATATTTGGCATGAAGTTGACCGATGAGCCTTTCGGCTCTCTTAGCCTAGCCTTGAAACCTCTAGGTTTTACTCAGGTTGATGCATAAGGTGAGGGACTGTGATGTGACTGTTGGCTCTTGCCCAAAACGTATGGTTGCTGCCAACGTGAGGTCCTCCTATCTGGGCCGTACCCAGTGGCAGCAGCAGTAGGCTATATCCTGCTGCTTTTAAAGGATGGTGCTTTGAGGAGGTGCCTCTCAGAATTTATAAAGGACTAGCTGGAATGTTGTTCACTGGATGTGTTTAATTAAATTAATAGACCTATCTATCTCCAGAGTGAGTGAAAACCAGGAATCTCAGTATTCGAACACCCAAAATCTGATGCTGAAAGTTTTTTCTTATGAAAAAGCTCAAATGGGAAGTGTGTTTTCATGTCATTTCCCAAAGGAAAAGTTTCAGGAGGGAATGTTTTGTTGGTTTATTCTTCTTGAAGGAACTTATGGATTTGTTTAAGGGTGTAGTCCTGTGAAAGCACTGTGTGAATATCCAACCCAATTTTTTCCCCATGGGGAGTCAGTTCATAGATGAGGGATGCCAGTATGACCAGCCCATTTCTATGGGGAAGATAGAGAGAAATCAGCACGCCCCCCTCCCACCTCCTGTGAAAATGCCTGGGAGACAGAGGGGAGAGGCAAGTGGCTCCAGAGAAGGACTTTATGTACCCAGAATTCCAGGGTGCCCTTGGGGAGTTCAGCTAGGTATAGAAAAGATGTTCATGGGACATGAACAACCGGCTGTTTTCAGCATAGCCTCTCCAAGATGTAGATGTAAGCCAGAGTAGTTTCAGTATTCTCAATGCACTGCACGTTTCCACCTCTGGAAGCAGTTACCCCGCAAGACAAGTCTGCACAACTGGCCAAAATTTGGTTTGAGGACTTGGTTTGGCTTCATCTGTGGTACCTCCACCTCTCCTTGTCCTGCCATGGATATCTAAGAATTCTCCCTCCTTAATAATAATAGCTCCTCTGACACAGAATTCAGCTCCAGGGAACTGTAGGCCAAAGGCCATCACAACTGTGGACAAATCTCTGGGGTAAATTAGGATTTAGATAAATATTGAGAGCCAGAGAAGTTGGTATTATTAGAAAAGAGTATGTAAGATATCCTTCTGGTGTCAAAACTAAACAAATTCTGATAGAATCTGACCCTGTTCATACATTTTTGTTTTCTGAGCTATAAGAAAATTTTTTCAGAAAAGTCTTCTAAGACTTAGTTGAGCTAAGGAGCTTATAGAAGAATAATAATATAGGAAATCTTTGCCAGTGTGAGAACCTGTAGGGAGAAGTTGGTATAAAATAAAGTCAAATGAGAATAACAAGAAGGTGTTTGATTTTCTTGCACTGCTAGTGAATAAATAAGACATAATTTCAAAATCACTTTGTCTTAAATTTTTTATATGAAGATGAAAGGTTCAAATACTGTGGTATGAATATTTAATGAACTTTGATATATATGTATAAAAGCAGACACATTATATACTTTAACAAAAGAAATTTGTGAAAGAATATTGTATATGATTTGTTCTGTTTCAATCTTTGAAATTCCTTCCATTTAAAATAAATGGACTTAACCATAGCATCCCTGACCCTCTCATACCCTCCCATCAATCACAGCCCAGTTTTGTGCTCGTTCCCTTGTCTCCTCCCACCTCGACTCCCTCCTCACAATCCAGACTCAGAGACAATGTACATAGGAGGGAGAGCCTTGGTCTGAGCCAGGAAGCCTGGGGTCAAATCCGAGCCCTGCCACTTTCTGTCCGTCTCTCCTTAGATGAGTTATTTTTCTCTCAGGGACTCAGTTTCTTCTTCTGTACAATGAGGTTTGTATGAGTTAATATGTGTATAGCACTGAGACCAGAGTCTGGCACCTAGTAAGTGCTCAATACATGTTAGTTATCACCATCAGCACCATCGTCATACCCTTACCCCAGAATGTGTGCCCATAAAAACATTTTGATTCCCCATTTAATCTTTCATCCGGGGCAAGCTGGTGTGGATATCACCAGGGTCTGGGGCAAGCTGCTGTAGGGTACCGATAGTGGAAACAAAGAATGATTAGGGCACCTTTCTGAAGCTCCCACCCTTATAAATAGTAGGAATAGCTCTGTGCTGAGTCTGAGCCTCTTTAAACACAGCTGTTTTGAGCAGCTGAGAACTTGCAGAGTTAAGAATGTTCCAGAAGTGCTCTGACCCCAGCTTTGCCAAATTGTCCCTGTGTATAGAGTTGGCCTGGCAACTCACCCTGCTCCTACACCATCTAAAGAACAATCAGGCATCCATAACTGGTGAGATGCTGTTGTTCCGAGGATGTTCTGTTCTTGGTGTGGGAAAGAGCGATCATGTTTGGTTGGTTGCAAGTTGTTGGGAATAAAAATTGTTGAGTTTATTTCTTAGCTCAAGTTTTCCAGCTAAGAAATAAATTTGGCAGCACAGAATTACTTATTTAACAAACATTTTCAAAACACTTAACTCTGTGTTAGGGGTTGTTCTAGTTCCTGTGAGTTAAGTACGGTACTGTCATTATTCCCATTTTACAGATGAAGCAACGGAGGTACAGA